ACTTAGAATTGATTACATTTTTGGTTGTGATCCGCAGATCCATAATTTTTTCACTTAATTAATTATATTAATTAATTAAAACATTTCACATTGAGAGAATTCAGTGCCTTGGCAGGAGGTGCCTGTGCTTCCGAGTGCTCTAGTAATGATTATATGTTATGTGTGCGTTGTGTGTAGTTGTTTGTTTGTTTGTTTGTTGTGTGTGTGTGTTTGCTTGTGTGTTGTGTGTGCTGTGTGTGTGTGTTGTGTGTGTGTTGCGTGTGTGTGTGTGTGTGTGTGTGTGTGTGTGTGTGTGTCTGGCGTGTGTGGTGTGATGTAGTGTGTGTGTGTGGAGTGTGTGTGTGTGTGTGTGTGTGTTTGTGTGTGTAGTGTGTTTGTGTTCGTGTGTGGGTATATTTGTTGTTTGTTGTTTGTTTGTTGTGTGCTGTGTGTCGTTTGTGTGTCTGTGTGTGTGTAGTGTGTGTTGGTGGTGTGGGTGTGTGTCTGTGCTGTTGTGTCTTGTCGTGCTGTGCCGTGCTGCGCAGGCATGTCGTGTGTGTGTTTGATCGTGTGTGTATTTGTTTGTTTGTTTGGTTCGTGTGTGGTGTTGTTGTGTGTGTGGCTGTCTGTGCGTCGTGTGTGTTGGCTGTCTTGTGTGTGTATGTGTGTGGTGATAATCTGGTGTGTGTAGTGTGTGTGTGTGTGTGTGTGTGTTGTCTCTTGCGTGTGTGTGTCTGTGCGTGTATGTGTATGTCGTGTATGTGTGTGTGTATGTGGTGTGTGTGTGTGTGTGTGTGTGATGTGGTGTGTGTCTGCTGCGTTGTTGTGTCTGTGCGTGTATGTGTTGTGATATATGTGTATGTTGGTGTGATGTGTGTTGTGTGTGTGTGTGTGTGTTGCTGTATCGTGTGCTGATGTGTGCGCGTGTGTGCTGTGTGTGTTGTGTGTATGTGGTTTGTTGGTGTGCTGCTTGTGTGTGTAGTGTGTGCTGGGCGTTGTGTGCTGTGTGTGTGTGTGTGTGTGTGTGTGTGTTATGGTGTGTGGCGTGTGTGTTGTGTGTGTGTGTGTGCTGCGTGTTTGTGTTGTTGTGGTGTGTGTGTGGTCGTGATGTGTGTGTGTGTTGTTGTGTGGTCGTGCGGCGTGTGTGTTGTTGGGTGTGGGTGTGTGTGTGTATGTGTGTGTGTGTGTGTTTGCTGGTGCGCGCGCGTGTGTGATGCTGACGGAGGGTAGTGTAGACGTAGGCCTATTCTTCTTCTTTTTCGTCTTCTTCTTTTGTTTCGCCTTATTTTTCTTCTTCTTCTCCTTCTTCCTATTCTGCTTCGTCTTCTTTTTCCCCTTTATTTTCTTTTGTTCTCTTTCTTCTTCTTTCGTCCACTTCCTCTTCATAGAGAAGTCCTCTACTATACTTTAGGAGGAGACACACATGGTAACCTCTTCAACCCTTCCCATCCACATAAGATGACGAACAATGTACGGACGCAAATGACAACGTTAATTTGTTTAACAACATGATATTATATTATGTAATTATCTGTGAGACAGTTCAGCGTTACGTAGTACACGCTAATATACATTCATCTAGCAAATGCGCGCATGGACGTAACTCATTATTTCATTACATTAATTCGCAATTCAGTACATTACGCAGACGATCATAAACACGCAACTTGAGACGGTAGCGCCCCTCGCCGCAATCTCTCACTACACACGAGTATTCGGTATACACTACAACGACGTTCGTACAACGAAATCACGCAAGCTTCTCATGTTGTCTGCGATACATTTCGGTAGATATTTACACATAAATAAGGCGAGACATTGCCCTGCTCCCGCGACGCCTAACATTGTAATTGCTAATTGTAATCAGCGCTCGCTTATACTAGTCCGTAGATTAACCGTATAATGATAGCTGCTTATAAATAGCTGTTGAAGGAAGGGCTTAATGAACCTTCACGCGTTTACTATTATCACATCACAACCGCACCATCTCATTTCCCAAAAAAATGTGTCATGTTTGTTCCTGCCAGCATCTGCCTTAACGATAATAAACGTACAATTCCCAAGTAAAAATGGTGCATGGCAATCTACGATTTCTGTTAGAACCAAATAATAATCTCTATAGTAGTCTTGACACAAAGACGACTATTATACACAGTATATTTTACACACATGGTTCCTAATAGAAACATATATGAGACTACGATCAGATCAACGACTTAGCGAAGACGCTACATCATCAGATGCCACCACTTTTATTTTGCCGCATCATGATTATTTTCGCGTAGTTATGCAAACCTTACGTCGGGCAATAATTAAATTATAATTATCAATCGTATCACGCGATGCCAAACCGCTAATTGGTTTCCACGCACGCGCCCGCCGTTATGAACGCGCGCACCCGAGCGCGCCCGCGCGAACAGACAGAGACAAAAACGCACGCAAGGCATGTATGGGATAAAAATAAAAATTTAACAGTGAAATGACACAAACTTTGAAAAATCTCGTTACACATGTATATTCTAAGCTGGTGACATAGAGAATACAGCTGCGCTATACTAATTACCACTAATGTAATACATGGTATTTCATCTGTACACGTAAACAGCCATGTCAATAATGATAACATGATCTCACCAAAAGCTACACATAAATCCCAAACAAAGTCACAGTTATGAGGTATTAAATTCGATCAAATAATGTAGAAAAAAAACAGACAGAACAATTACAACCCAACAAAAACAATCTCCAAAAATAATACTGCTGTGGTGAAAAGAATGGACCTAGTATAAACACTGGCTGGGATGTCAAACATTCGTAGGGAAGTAAGAAAAGTTGATAGACGGGTAGCAGGCGATGCTAGTGGGAGTGAGAACAGGTTGGTGAAGGGTAGGAGTATAGAGAACGAGGGTAACAGTTGGGAGTGAGGGGAGGCAGGTAGGAAGGGAGGGAGGAAAGGAGGTAGAGTGGGAGGGAGAGAGGAAGCGACAGGTGGGGAAGGAGAGGTTGGTGGATGGGGGAAATGTCTGTTAACGGGATCGGATAGTGTGGAAGGAAGCTGATGGCATATGTATGGAGGTGGCAGCGTGGGTGAATGAGAATCACGTTGGCAGGGCGGTGAGAGGAGCTGCCGAAGGGCGACAATAGTAGCTGGTGGGTAGGAAAGGTCAGAAAGGAGGTCTGAGGATTTTGCTGGTGGATGAAAAGGTGCTTGGACGATGGTTCTAAGAGGATCGTGGACGTGTAGGACGCAGCCCTGAACCCTTGCGTTACAGGAAATCACGAAGTATTGGTTGCCCACCTCTGACACTGTATACCACGGTTGCTACGGTGCTACACCCCGCCACTGGTCGGAGCCCGACCCAGACACGTTAGACTAGTATAGGACACTGCAGGAATACTGACACACGCTACCCTTGTTAGCTATGCCTTACAATGGCATGTAATGTGCGTATTAAACGACTACAGGTCTTCACCTAGGTTTACATGTATTCCACAGCGATGCGTTATATATTAAACTACAATGCGACTCAATGCGGAAATCTCAAAATAAATTGATCAACCCTTTACGCAGAGTTGCTCGTTAACACCCACTCAAGCGCCACTAGCGCCACATTTGTGAAAAATAACGAACTAACCAATGACAGCGAAACGATCCTGCTCGCTCTAAGTTTTCATAAATCCCGTAATACTGTTTCTGTACATTTCACCCCGCCTGTTTTTATACACACACCGCGCTTCACACAGTGCTATTTGCTATAGCCATATATATATATATATATATATATATATATATATATATACGTACATGGTTTCATGGTTACAGCCTACGAGAGACACATCAGTCCCTACGTGTTGTTTATTATACGAGGGGGGTACTCTGCATAGTGACATGTATATATATATATGTGCGCCGCATTATTGCCCCCCATTTTTCGTTTTCCTTGCCATTTTTTTGCCCCCAAATTTTTCCCAGCCATCTTTTTGCCCCCCCCCCTCATTTTTCCCTTGCCATTCTTGAATTCACTATACACAGGTAGCAGGTATTCCCTAACCCCATGTTTTTCACATAGAGCAATCTTTTTGCCCCATATTTACACTGTACATAGAGCCATCTTTTTGCCCCATGCTTTCACCGTCAAGCCATCTTTTTGCTCTCAATTTTCATTTAGGTGGTGCACCCCTTCCCCCCAAAAAGGTGAGTACCCCCCTCCCCTCCCCGGATTTATTGTGCTACTTGTCGCGTGTTGGTTGGTCACCATTTGAGCAATAACGCGTGTGTACGCGGACAGTGTGATGGCGCACGCATCATGGCGCCCGCATCACGCGCGACGCTGTGAGCGAGGCTACACAGACGCGTGAAACAGCTGCGCGCTGTCTGCTTCACCTACGGTCCTACCCTACCCAAACCAGACTACACACCATCCACGTCATCCAATTAGGCTATATCAAGAGCTAATAATACCTGTATGTATGTATATATGTATTACTAGCTCTTGGCTATATGAAATTCATAATATAAGCTCATCGGACGTGAGACGAACTAGTACACGTTTCTAATGACGCAGCAAGGCGTTACACGTTGCTATATGGCTACGATAAAAGACGACGCGACACGTCAGAGGCAATGCTATTGCTTCACAGCTGCTGGTTAATGCTTTATATATATATAAAAATGATATACAACAAGTCGCATCTGTGAACCAAGTCATTTACGAATGCAGACTTTAGACGTACCGTAACACGCCAACATTAACCGATAGGTTATATGATGTAAGATTTGTTTACATAATTAACAGATAAATAAATAACATCCTCTTTCCCACTTTTACGTTTAGTTGTTACAACGATAATAACAGGCATAAGTATCCATGTATGATATATATATATATATCAGAATTTAATAAAGACAAATTTGTCTTTATTAACTCCTGATATATATTATATATAGTATATAATATATATATTATATATGATATATATATAATATCATATATATATATATATATATATATTATCGACACGTGATGAGCGCTCCTCGTAATATAAACAACACAATATAAACCGTACCTACTGAAACAAATTTCACGAACCGTATATCGTTAAGCTGCCATGTACAATATGCTAGTACAGTTAACACATCACTTACCGCGTCCGCTATATACTAGCTTTCCTTCGAATAAATACACATTTGTGTAGCACAAACAGTTAGGGGTAGGAATATGAACTTTATTCCTCTCAGGTTTCCGACAGTGTACGCTGTCACTTCGCGCCAAATGATATTCTACAAGAGATATCTCCAGCCCAACATACTACACGTAAATACATATACACACACAGACAGTGATCTTCATGGCGTCATTTAACTTCTCGCGTAATGTGCCCGCACATAACATATAACTAAAGTGATTCCAGTCACAATTGGATGTGATCTCAAGTTAATGTAATAATCGGGGGCATAGAGCCCGCCGACGAAGGTGGATTTCAACTGCAATGAGTTGTAAAGTTGATTAAACCTTAATAAATGAATAGAAGCCATAACCGCAGTGGTGTCACCCGTGGTTGGCTTTCTTATCGTGTGATCACCAGCTCCACTACCCGAGGCGGTCTGCAGAGCTTCCATCATTACTGGGTTGCGCTCCTTATTAGGTGCCGTCACAAACAGTTCATCTTTCTTTCTAGCTGCAATCATCACTGACTATCATTCCACATAGCAGTAGTCACCGTTAGTTAGCTCTGTTCATATCCACAGTCAGTAATAGTTGTCATCTGCCATAGCTGCCATCAACGTTGGTTCACATCCACGATATAGCTCCTAGTTGCCAACAGTTAACCATGCCCTGTAGCTGCCATTATCACAAGATAATTCCTTACGTAGTCGTAGTCACAATAGTTTAATTCCTGGATAGCTGCAGTCATTCATACTTAAGTTCCATTCTAGCTGCCATCACCACTGGTCAATCTTCATTAAAGTTGCCGTCACTAATGGTCACCTCTGCCCATAGTTGCAGTCATCAACAATAAACCAGGCCCTGTACGTAGCTGCCATCATCACAGGATATCTTCCTACATACGTGTAGTCAGAAATAAATAACTTCATTCATAGCTGCCATTTCTATCGGTTGACCATCTCCTCCATAACTATAGTCAAAAATCGTTGACCCGATCTTCAACGTAAATCTCAAATTGCCAACCTTCGCCGAGCCCTTCCTTGGTTGGTCTACCGCAGACGGTCACTATCCGCAGCCACCAATCGTGAAAACATCGCTAATTCTCAGCTAGCGCTATCTTGTTGCCGATTATGGAAGTCGTTCCCGCCGGAATGCAACAGTTGAAAGTAGAGACGTGGTTACGCTATGATGGCGATGTCACACGGGACAGTCTGAGGGCGCTATGCACTGTCCATCATACAGCACGCGATCCGCCGAGCATCGGCAACCTGCCAAACATTGAGCAATTGATAGTTACGTTTCAAACAACATGGGCGGAGGAGCTACAATAATGCTGAAATTGAAGAAATAGGCAGGCAGATAATTAGAATTACATTCAGGAATATTACGATATGAGAGAGAAGAAATGTCATGCTAAGAATGGCTGTGTTAATAGCACACGAGGACTGTTTCATGACTGTGTTATATTGTTATATTAGTTTGCCAGTCGTCAACGGGATCATATGGTGTAGATGGGTAAAATGCAAATGAAGTAACTGGGGCGCATGCTGCTAGCACTAACATTGTAATCAAAAGTATTATAAAGTATCGATGAAAGTATCACTAAGTTCAAATACGGTGCACGTTAATGAAACTGACTGAACGTGACACACCAATTATTATTTTACCATGCTGCCAATTTCCCTCACCCTATCTACGCCACAGGCAACATATGGCGACAGAGTAAGGGTAGCAGATATGAGTAAGTGTGCTGGGGCTACTCACCTGGTACGCAGGGTTTGTAGCACTCCGCGTTGAGCTTGCTCAGCGCCACCTCCTTGTTGGCACACGTCCTGTGACAGGGAGGCCCGCACTCCTCCCATATTAAGCCGAGCTCGGTGTCACACTGCTCATCTGCGCACATAGCATAGCGCAACGCGTGTTTTAAGCTCAAAGCAAACACACGTAAACATATCATATATCATATTCAGCTGTAAGATATAGGCTAGAAGCCTGTTAGCTTGCTCCCGAAATTTCGCGGAAGTTGGAAGGGATTAAATAAAAGAGTCTAAGCGGATTCTATCCGAGAATGAATCGCACAAGTGAATCTATATACCCCGTTGATGCGAGTTATTGGGCATTGTAAAGCTTCACAAGTACGTCACTACGGTGCCGACGAGACCGCAGTATTGCTGCAACCACACAGCTCCACTTTGATGTGGACGCAGAGTAACGGTGTTGTCACGAAGCTTTAGCAAGGCCTCGACCTGGTTCTAACAGCCTATACGGGGAGCAGACATTTTGCTGGATTGATATTCTGCGTTGGAGACAACAGCACGAATTCGCGCACGGTTCGGTCTCCTAGAAACTGGAATTGGAGGTTCTGCGATCACATTTCGCCTCTGCCAAGATGGCTATCTCGTCAAAATCATCCACGATACACGACTATCGTGACGCCCACTCCGCCGTTAGGCCAGCCACGACCTCAGACTCACCACAGAGCGCCTCTGACCTCCAGTTGAGCGTGACGCCGGCCTGAGCGCACTCGAGAGCGTAGGTGCCGAGGATGTCGCAGAGACACGGCTCGGTGTGTGCGCATGCGCACAGATCGTAGACGCACGACGCGAAAAACGGTTCTGGCGAGACGACGCGGTGACACGGCCGGAAGATCGGACCCTGGTGGCGGACATCGTCATTAGAAATGGCGACTAGCTACGGTCACGCCACCCCACGGCGTGACACAGGCGGGAAAATTGCGACGAGACAGCCACGAATGCAGACGCTAACAGTTGACGCTGGTATCACCAATTATGGCAACTAGTTATGCGAGCGCCACCTGGCGAATGACGGACATTAACATTGTAGTTTAATACGCTTAAGAGAGGCAAAACATGACATGCCTACAGCATGCAAGTAAGATATGAATTCCCCATGGGTCTTCTTTTATTAACACGTTCCTCGTACATTGTATTACCTACAAATCATGCAAACCATTAGGAACAACATGACTACTAGACTACAGCGCACACATGTAGGCATCATTACTCTAAGGTCCTACCGAGTAGGTTCCTAAAGTACAATACTAAATTAGTAATTAATAATCATGTATAAACACTAAGGTCCTACATGGTAGGTTCACGAATGCCGAGGGTTCACAAGTGCGGGCTTATTATTATAGGCGTTGGCTGGCCGCATGTAGGGGGGGGGGACTTACGCGAATGACGGCGCATTTCGTCGTTGCCAGCTTGCGGGCAGCGTAGCCGCCCTGCACACAGGGGTCGATGTCGATCGCATCCTTGCACTGCGACTCCCTGCTGCTGTCAGGCACCTTCCACGAATTACCTGTGAAAACACGGAAGTATATATGCGCATGTAGTGGGCGCGGAACACGATAGAATAGCTCGCTGTTTGCCGAGGAGGGGGAGCAGAAGACATAGCTACTGCGTTCAATGGGTTTATACAACTAATATGTGTTTATACAACGTTAATACTCCCGCGTTGTGAACAATGCAGGCGTTGACATGAGTTCAATGCATTGTCATGAGATTACATACCGGGGGACACGCGTTTGTGCGGTTCGTGACGTACGAGGGCGCAGCAAACGCTTTACGCACTCACCGAACACAGCAGCAGACGTTGTCAGGTCACCTGACCTCATGCGCAAGTCGTCTGGCGGGTAGCTGTTGTAGTTTCCGCACAGTCCGCACATCTTTCTCATGTAGGCGGGCTGCACACTCACCTCTGCGTAGCTGTCGCCATTCCACAGAACCTAAAGATGGAGAATAAAGACATAGTAAAAATAACAAAATAATGAGATGGATTGTTATTAAACATTGCACAGAAACATGCATTCAGGTGTTTCTATTTGGGATACAATATTACTATACGATTATTACGATTTACTATATAATATATAGTAAATAAAATACACTCGCTGAGACAGCAGCAGTAACGATGGATATGTTAATGATAACCATGTACCATAAGGAGGAGAATTATTGAATTACTGACTTTATAGCTGTATAAGATTACTGTTGTTGTTGTTGTTGTTGTTGTCATCGTCGTAGTCGTCGTAGTTGTCGTCGTCGTTCGCCAGCGTGTCGTAATGCGTCGTCGATCGCGTCGTCGTCGTCGTCGGGCTCGCGCGCGTCGTAGTCGTCGTCGCCGTGTCGTAGTCGCTCGTCGTCGCGTCCGTACGTCGTAGTCGTCGCGTCGTAAGTCGTCCGTCGTCGCGTCCCGTAGTCGTCGGCGTCGTCGTGCGTAAGTCCGTGCGTCGTCCGCGTCGTAGTCGTCGTGTCGTAGTCGTCGTCGTCGCTTTCGTAGTCGTCCGGCGGTCGTCGTCACGTAGCTCGTAGTCGTCTCGTCGTGATGTCGTTCGTCGTCGTGCGTCGTACGTCGCGTCGTCGTCGTTGTCGTCGTCGTCGCGTCGTCGTCGTCGTCGTCGTCGTCGTCGTCGTCGTCGTCGTCGTCGTCGTCGTCGTCGTCGTCGTCGTTGTTGTTATTGTTGTTGACGACGATGATAATGATGTTGTCTCTGGTGGTGATATTGAAGTTGATATTGGTGATGGCAGATACCTTCATTCCGACATTCGTGGTGAGCATGATGGTATTCCCAGTTTTCTCCACCAGCACCTGTGGGCGATGCAATAGGGGCAGGTCGACGTCTTCGCCATTGACCCTCACGCGACCTTGCCGCAGCAGGTCGTAGACGGATCCAGCTATCTTCACAGTCACCGACTCCGTCCATGCCACTGACCCGCGGTGACCTCGGTCAGTGTTCACAACCTAGAATCACGACGGCAGAATTCGGCTGATAGATCCTGATAGATAGACGACCCAATTTCGTTTCGCCATATGGGGGCACATGGGCACACTGGTTTTAATATAATTGCGGAGTCCACTCATGTGTTCACATTGTAAAGACATTGGAAGGTACAACTTCTTACACTATAAACTATAACACTATAACAGAGTGTTTAAAGTGATAATAGGGCCGTAACTGAACAGCTGCTTGAGTTATTGTATAAATAGAGGATAATGCTTATATCATTATGTACATATTTGTTTATTATCGTCTCTTGATAGTATATATATATATATATATATATATATATATAATATTGCGCGCCATAAAAAAGATTATACAAATTTGTTTCTCCAATCTCGGTTAAAAACGTGTTATAATGAGATTATGTCCACCACTAAAAAATCTAACCGCAGGTCACTGGCGCGCTGACAATTTTGTCGGCTATGTGTAGAATGGAGTATAACTGTGCGCGCGCGTACATGGCGGTGACAGCTTACATTCTACCCATGCATGAAATCATTTGGACTTAGATAAATTGAATTAGCAGGCAGTAAGTGCAGAGCTAATAACGCAAGCATTAGGAGTTTCGTTCACTATTATTCTTCGACTTCAATTACGTTATTTTTACTATTTGTGTTCGCTACTCGTGTATTTGTGAGTGTGCACATGCACGTACCTCCACGGTGAAGTTGCCCGTGACGCAGTCGGCTGCTAGTACGTAACGACACGTACCCTGGAAGTGCACCATGTTGCCGTCAAACGTGCGGTAATGCGGGTCGCCGAACCCTACGCACGTTACTGGCCGCGTGATACACCTAGACAACAAGCAGATTATGTAAAGCCAGGAGACCCGCATGCACACACGCGCGCGCACGCACATACTTGTACACGCGCGCGAACGCCACGTACACGCTAGCGCACACACGTGCACACACGCACGCGTGCGTGCATACATGCTCGCGCACAAACACGCACGCACGCACGCACGCACGCACGCACGCACGCACGCACGCACACACGTACACACACTGTCAATGCAACTAAACCCAAAAGAAAACGGTAAATCCCCTGTAATACTTGAGCGTAACTTACTCTGGGCAGCAGGCGCCAGGAGCCATGAATGGCACTTGATCCGGCCTGCAGTTGAGCGGCTCACACGTCTGCACCGTGCACAGGTTCTCACCCTCCTCACAGACGCAATGCGTGCAGTCATCTAACTGCCACCTTTCGCCACCACTGTGCAGCTGTAACATGGCAAACTAGCTATGTAATACCCAGGCATAACCCAGTATGTAACGCCGAGGTATGTGTTTCCCACATGTTTTATGTCTAGGTGTGTAATGCCGAGGTATGTCATCCAAGATGTTTTATCTCCAGGTGTGTAATCAATCAGGATGACACACGACGACTGCATCTGTCCAAAATCTACAAGGCCGTTGTCAGGAAACATATTAGGTCTACGATAATCATCAATACGATTATAGCACATAGCAAACTTTGCAAGGCGAATATTACGACTAAAATGTTTCAGACAACGCCCCTCCCACCCATGTTCATGCAATGACCGTATGTACACTCTCTATCCGCAGATAACTACGTCTACCGATACGCTACAGCGGCTTTCTACGAGTAGACGTAATTGTTAGCGACGATATATACCGTGTCTACCTGTCCAGAGACGATGCACGTCAGGTTGCTGCGGTGCACGCACTCCTCGCAGCAGTCGAACGGCAGCAGCTGCCGCAGCTCGTCGGGCCGGCAGTGCAGGACGGGGCAAACGAGCCGACTGGTGCTGACGACGCCGCCGCGGCAGCTGTGCTGCTCGCACGGGTCCGTCATCGCCGGCCACACGTGCCCGTCGCGGAAGAAGGCGCCGTCTGCCTCCGAGTAGCACAGCTGTAACCACGGCAACGCGAGCGCGCGTGAGGGAAGGAAGTCGCGACTCGTGGCGGCGATGTGTGAACGTAGCGCAAAAACTCGCAACAACCATAGAAATATATAGAGACACTATATATATATACTTATTTATATATATGTATAGTCTATATATGTACATATATATCATAGTCTAACTAGTATATTATTTCTATGGTTTTCACGTTGATGTCGTGACCTGTGGTCACTCAAGGTCAGAACTGGTCGCTGTGCGGCGTAATGTCGTCAATGCTCACAGGACACGAAAACATGTCAACTTCTGTGTGATGGTTATTTTTTATAAATATATTCATAGTTGCTATTGGTGTCTAGGTGTCTCCTAGCTCTCGCCATACTATTAAGCCTAGCCGAACTATACTTCCGGCCCCAATCCTAACCGTACACCTAACTGTAACCATAATCATAACATTAGCTGGAACACTGATCCATACTTTAATCAGAATCACACGCAACATCTTTATAACTTATTTAATAAACGATGTATGGAGCTTGTGCAATTTCCAGTACGTATCCAATCTACACTCCATTCCGTCCAAAACATTCATAATCAACTACTTATCGACGTCACCCACCTTGCATTTCTGGCAACACTCGCCAGGTGGCATGTAGATCTCAGACTGCGGACAGTTACTCAGCAGGGGGCACTGGCGGCGCTCGCACAGCCAGCTGCCGTGCTGCGAGCAGCGGCATGTATAGCAGGGATCGGACGTCGGCACCACGTCGACGCTCAGCGCAGTGCAGCTGGACACCAGGTGACGCGCGCAGTGGGGACAGCACTGGTCGTGTGCAGGTGGCAGCACCTATAAGCACAACGCAAGGCTATCACCTACCGTTGGCATCCAGCAACATAGCTTTACATATTAGAATGCCTCGATAATGAGACATAGTTATTCCATGTGGTGTGCGACAAGCGGCAGCTCTAGATGCATTCTGTCTAGCATTCTCTTTCTATTATGGCTAACAGCGCTGTAATGTCGCGTCGTACATCGCTATCAAACCGCCAACTAAAAATGCCGGGGTTGCGAATATGGGTAAAGGCTGCTTCCTGTACAAAACTACTGGATAACCTCGACGTACTATGAATGTCTAACAGGCACAAACTGCATTGACGCTAACACACAAGCTCTATGCCCAACAGCGATGTATTAGAACTATATAGAAAGAACATACGCGTTATATCCTAGGCAAAGTCTGTGTAAAAATTATATAGGCGAGGTCTGATACTTGCTGTACACGTATAACAAATTATAACCCTGCTTTCTTCAATCTATATACATCACTGCTATGTCTAAACCAGGACGTACATCGTAAGCGATATCTTGCAGTGTATGACTGAAGCAATAAATGACCTTTACCTCGTCAGCTGGGCAATCGAGCAAGGCGGGACAGGTCTCTTTCCAGCACTGGAGGGCCCCTCCCTCGCACTGACATGTCTGACAAATGTCGTTGTCAGGATGGAATACTTTGCCGCTGATGTGCAGTGCGCCCTTGTAATAGCAACCTCTGCAGACTGGGCAACACTGTAGTGAAAACACATGCAGTGCATGTCACGTATCGAGAACGTATATGTCACCCATATGTTACAATATAATAGCTATCCCCTGCAGCATAGGCAACACTGCGGAGAGAATACAGATGATGAAACCATACAAAATATTAAAAACTTGACCGTCTAACATATAAAAGTATGTGCAGGGCACGCGTGAAATACAGCTTGTTCTGCTAGCACCTATGACAAATACGACATACGCATATACGCTCTCCTATGACACTATTTGTCATAGGAAGAATCTTCCTATGACAAATACGACATACGCATATACGCTCTCCTATGACACTATTTGTCATAGGAAGATTCTGCAGGTGAGAAAGGGTGTCATGCGTGTGTTGTGCGCATCATAGGAGTTTAGGAGCGCTATTATGAACGCAAGCAGTGAATTTCAGCTGTAAAGAGGAACGAAGTTGACTCGCCAATAGTTGTCATAGGAAGAATCTTCCTATGACAAATAGTTTCATAGGAGAGCGTATATATGCGTATGTGGTATTTGTCATAGATGAAAGCAGAATATGTTCTGAAATGTTAGCTACACGGAAGCTGTGCCTGTGCAGGTGTGCTTACCTGCCGAAGTGCAAGAATATGAATGCCCACCTGAGCACATACCTGCTTAGACCTCACGTATAGATGCGGCGAGCAGTTGTACTCACCTGACCAGGTCTAAGGAAGGAGCGAGCGCATGGTGTCATGCAGTGTTTCCGCGCACAGGTGACAACGCCCTGGTGACAGGTGCACTTGACGCACGAGTCGTGCTTCGACGGCCATATTGCGTGCTCCTCGTACTCCTGACCCTCGTAGGAACAACCCTGGCAGCGTTCGCAGCATGACCCCGGGTCACGAATCCTGAACTGACAGCTCAGCTCCGCACATTTATCTGCAATCGTGCACAGCCATTGTTGGTAGAGAATCGCACGTCTTATTATTATTATTATTATTATTATTATTATTCTTATTATAATCATTATAATGTGTGTGTGGGCGTGCATGCGTGCGTGCGTGCGTGCGTGCGTGCGTGCGTGCGTGTGTGATACTGAAACTATATATACATACATAACTGAGCACTAAATCCGAACTAACCCAACATGAACACGTTGACGGCATATTCCACGAGTTAACCCTGCTTCTTCATAATAATAAAATCATATAATCATAAAGATATAAGGATTCCAATTATTAGGGAATATGGCAGACAGCCATGCTTTTGTTGGAGGGATGTACATCTATAGCCTAATCGAACGGTAAGGTGTAGGATAAAGGCAGTCACCTGCGGTGCAGGTAACGCTCCCGTCATCACAGACGCACGTCTGACACGGCCCGGGTTTGAACAGTTGCTTGTTCGTGTACGTCTGATGCTTGTAGTAGCAACCGTCACACTGGGGACAGCACTTGTCGGGCACCGGGTGAGCACACGTGGCCGTGCATGGTCGCCTCACGCAGTGTACGGCTGTTCCTGTATCCACGCAACGCAACGCGCGGGGTCAGAGACAGATAACGACACAAATAGCGCTGCCAAAAATGTCACATTACAAGTTGGTGCGATTGTGATAATGATAACTTGTGCCAATTAGTACGGAAAACAACGCCAGCAAAATGTTCACATTATAACATCACCAAGAAACGTTACCGAGTAATATAACAAAATACTCATATTTTAGCGAGGGTCAAATTATCAATGAGGATGTATGTAAGAAACACAAGCATGCGTATTACTGATAGTATCGACATCTACGAGCCGGTTCTTGACATTAGTAAATGCAAAGATACATCGTTATTGAACGGGTACGGGTTGAGTGATGTATAATACACAAATGACGAAAATTTACACACTTCCTATCTGCTAAAACTACAATAGTTACAGTGTAATTATTATACTTTACCTATTATTATTATTATTATTATTAATATCAGCATCCTCATCATCACCATCATCATCCTCATCATCATCATCAACATCAACATCATCATCGTCGTCGCCGTCGTCATCATTATCATTATTGTTATAAGAATTATGTGTGAGATTAAAAACCGGATACGTCGGGATTGGCCGCTTAATTAGCTTCAGTTTCTTTCAAAACCCTGCAAACGATTTATAGACTAGATATGAAGAGGTGCAATTTAAGGTAAAGACGGCAGCACCTCGGCAGGTGCAGTTCTCGCATCTGTCCGCAGGATTGGGAAAGTTCTCTCCATCGCGAAACGTCAGACCGTCGACGCTGCACTGCGGACAGATCGGGCAGCACTCGTCAAGGGGCAGCACCGGGTTGTCACAGTCCAGGTCGGGGCACGTGAGAGGCGCGCAGGTAACGTCACCTGGTGGGGGAAACGAATGCATGACACGTGTCGTTCATATGCACAGTGTCGGCGCATAAGAGGTTCAGCAGTTGATACAGGGTCGCGTGACATAAATGCGCATGCGTAATGGTAATTAATGTTAGGAATTTCCTCAATTAACGAAAGGTGTCGTATCTGATCAATTCCTTAAAAATTTATGGTGAATATCTTATGAAAGCGATGCGTTTACCCATCAAATGACAAACTGCCTGTCAACAACCCATGACAATCCAGCAGAAACTAATAAAAGAATTCTCACAACAAATTAAAAGTAATTCGCTCGATATCTGACTCACCATTGACGCATGCGCACTGCTCACAACCTGCTGAAAAATCGCTGCCGTTCGTGTACTCCTGCCCGTGGTAGAAGCAGTCCGTACACGTAGGACAGCAGGCACCATCTACCAGCTTGGGGTGCGAACACGCAGGGCAGGGTTTTAAACCGCAGTTTGTGTAGCCGTTCCTAATAAAGCAGTCCACACGAAATTTATGAGAAACTGCGCGAATTATAGGATTGCATTTGCATAGAGTAGGATCTGGAAGCTATGACGGATTAACCAACACAAGTTCATATATATAAGAAGTAACGATCGAACAGAATCAGACTAAAATTTGACATAAGCTCTCATACAAGGTTCACAATTTATCATAGCTCACGGTAATGCAATAGAATAGATAACATCATTCTCATATAGTCACTAGATATATAGCCATATATCACTATATATGTCACAGTTAGACCACGTTTATTTTATACCTGCAGGTGCAGAGTTGGCATGGATGGCTGGGTGGAACCCAAGATTGCCCGTTCTCAAATGCCACTCCGTCGTACAGACACACGTTAGAACAAACAGGACAGCACTCCCCTGAAAAAAATATATAGGTAGCTAACTGCAGAGCCGGAGTGACCGGAGTCCTAATTATATTATTTAATATATCTCTTAGTTATTTGCTACCATACACAACACGAAGTTTTACCGAATATGGTTCTAAGCACCCATTTTCATGCGTGAGCTTGTAATCACAGTTACTACCTTCACACCCTAATGTGCTATTAACACGTGTGCTCTTACACATCGTAGCGCTCATCACGTGGCATATCTCTTCTAATTCAGCAAAAGACAAATTATATGTTGTTGAGAGCGCTTTCAATACGCCAGATAAAAATGTTAAGAATGACGTTATTAACTTGAATATTTAGTGGTATATATCTGGTATTCTATAATGAGCGCAGGTTACATATTTTATATAGTTAATTTATTTAACATATATATTCTAGATTTCTAAGCCGCCTTGGTAGGTTATCCTTTAACCATCTTTGTTGGTGTTATTCAGGTCACGCAATATTTTGCCAATGAAACCAGGACTGGTTACACTAGACGACGAGGACTGTCCCCGGTGGCACTTACAACCCGACCCTGGTCATTTTTATGCAGAGAACGGACTATGTAACACGTGTAGCGCAATGTTTATTGCAGAGAGGACGCTCTGAATGATGAAGATAGGATTGAACTAGGTCAACGGCTAGTGGGCCTAATAGTTTTTAGGTCTTACAATAAAAAATAAAAACAATTCCTTTATTTAAATCCACCAACATTAAACGATGACATTACGATCATACCTGCAGGTATGTATGTGCTGGAGCAGGACAGGGTGGGACAGTCTAGGGTGTGGCACTGCATGTCCCCGCCGTAGCAGCGACACACCTCACACTTATTGGCTGGATTCGTTAGACTGGCACCGGCAGCGTAGACCTTGTCCAGGAACAGGCAGCCGCTGTCGCACGTCTGCCCAAAAACAAGTGCGGAACAAATGAACATCCGGCTCCACAAAATAAATCCTACTCGATCTTTATTGGCTGCTCGGGCTGCTCGGGTTACTAACTTGGCAACGACTAGCTTTGTCTTTGACCGGTGGTTAATACCAAAGTGGATTCAATGTTCGAAAGGTCATTGAAGAACCGGCGTCACTGAATAAGTACTTTTGGGTCCCGCAGCTCACCGTACGCTGTACTCGTAAAACAACTGATGTAATTTTAACGACCGTAGCTGTCTTCGATAGGAAATGTGATTTATTCTTCCGTACTCAGTTCCGATTTTGAGCGAACGCGATCGTGGGAGCAACCGTGAACAGGTGAACAACTACGGCAAACGATAACCACGGTGGCCAATTATCTGACGGGACTGGCTTCACGCGTCAATGTTCATACCTGACAGCAGGCGCCATCTCGCGGGTGCGTACATCTGACGGGTGGACATGGCCGTATGTGACAGGACACCTCGCCGTCGCTATAGCAACAAAGACGTCATGTGCTATTGTACTGATGTATATATATATATATATATATGTGTGTGTGTGTGTGCGTGCGCGTGCGTGCGTGCGTGCGTGCGTGCGTGCGTGCGTGCGTGCGTGCGTGTGTGTATGTATTATTATGTATTGCTGTATTTCATTTTCATGTAAAGATTAAACAGATACTTACGACCGCAGACAAGAGTAGTATGCGTTCTATTTTGCCTGTTATACGTGAGGATTGTTTTTAGTTAAGGTAATAGTATAGTTGCTTACCTAAGGAGGTTAGACCGGTAAATTTTGCTTTAAGTAGGCAATCAATATACACGTTACAGCACCTATTTATTCTTACCTGCAAACACACTCGTTGCATTCCTCGTCCAGACTCGGGAATGTCTGCCCGTGTTTGTACATCTGGCCGTGATGGCTACACGGTCTGTTACACTCAGGACAGCAGGGACCTGGCTTAGGATCTGAACAGCTCACCAGGGGGCAGTTCTTCACCGAACACTCAACGTTACCTGGTTGAAGATAGAGTTGCAAACAACAGAAATTTACTATGTAGCAGCTGTGTAACTTATTACGTACAATGATACACAATACTAGTACATGCTAAATACAGGTACTAGATAATTATCTTTAATTATTTCGAAGTACGTTTCCTTTAACAATTCAATTGAAAAATAAGCATATATTTAAACCCCTTTCGCTGTGAAAGTGAGCCATTATTCTATAGTATTGTAAGCATATCTCACCATCTTTAGTAGCATCCAAGACGACATCAGCAGCAGATAACAATAGATATTGTTTTGTCATGATAGAAAGTTAAGAAAACTCAAACTTTAAGACAACACATTACGAATCCCGTGTTTTTATTATATATTTACATGAACAAAAAAACATGTATACATTTTCCTGATTCATATCCGATAGAGCATCATATTGCATCCAGTATATAGTAGAAGATTCTGATATTTTTCTGACAATATGTGATCATGATGATGATATGTTAATACTTAAGATACGTTACTTACCACTTTTACAGTTACATTCTTCGCATGGTCTCGTCTCATCCTCAAAGCGTTCGCCGTTCGCGTAGACCCTGTCACCATAGTTACACGTGTGGCACTCGAGACAACATTGTCCCCTGCTGGGGTGCGTACAGGCAACAGTCGGACATTGTAACGGGCCGCAGCTGATGTTGCCCTGGTGGCACTCACAGGACACGCAGGGGTCATCGGGCTCAGCAAAGAGCTGTCCGTTCAACACCAGCTGGTCCTTGTATTCGCAGCTTCCGCACTCGGGGCAGCAACCCGTCGTCACGGGATGCGAGCAGCCGACGGGCGTGCACGCGCGCTGGTGACACTCGCCGTTGCCATGGCGACACTCGCACGTGATGCATGAGTGCTCGTAGTCGAGGCTAGCTCCGTCCGCCACCTGCTGCCCGTCGATATAGCAGTCGGTACACTCCTTGCAACAACCTATAGCACGCGAAAGAGTATTCGTTATCATAGAATAAACAGTGAGATACGACTATGTTGGATCCTACTTGCTGGTATAAGACCGACAATGTGATTTCATGTGTTTTGCGACGGGTTTGACGACATATCAGTGGGACGACTTTATTTACGTGTAAAAATATGCACACCAACAAGCAAGAGGGGCGTGTGTGCTCTCCTCCACCCGCGCGCGCTATCTCTCTGTCTCTCTCTCTCTCTCTCTCTCTCTCTCTCTCTCTCTCTCTCTCGGATCTCTCTCTCTCTCGTCTTCTCTCATCTTTCTCTCTCTCGCCCTCGCTCTCTCTCTTCCTCTTTCTCTCTCACTCTCTCTCTCTCTCTCTCTAGAAAGAATTTTTAAACGCAAACGGTGGATTATTTAAAATATTATGACCCGAACGTCAACGAAACAGACCAGCTTGTACGAACAAAACAACACTTGTATCGAGTAACACAGTACGTGCGACACATTTTCTCGCGACATACTACACTAAGCCAATACACGCATAAACGCAGCTACGTATGATGATAAAAGAACGATTCTGCTTTTGCCTGCTATGAAGACGTAAGTTTTAATAAGAAACGGTGCTCGCGCGACAGTCTATATAAGTCAAGTAGGGGGCGTACCGTTCTGTACTGGATGTGAGCACCGCGGTGTGGCGCAGCGCATCTTCGTACACTGGGACACGCCCCCGCGGAGCACGCGCACCAATCACAGTTGTCCAGCGGACTGACGAAACTCCTCGCCGTTGCTCCACGTGCGGCTTGCCATAGTTGCAGTCGACGCAGGCAGCACAGCAGCCGCTCGCGCGGTGGTGGCACGCCGCAGGGGGGCACGGTAGTCGCTTACACGTCACGTAGGGGTAGTCGCACTCACACACCTGGCAGCTGTCTAGCGGGCTGGTGAACGAGGTACCGTCTCCGTACGTAGAACCCCTCAACGTGCAGACTGCAGCGGGAGAAAGAAACCGCTTCACAATACGGTGCCATGGAAACTGATACGCGCTCCATCTTGTTATTATCGGTGTGCGGAACCAATTAACGATTGCAAACGCTGTTGAAACAATCACTCGTCATACGACATAGAGTAAAACCTGCATGTGTGTAATGGCTCATAGCCACTTCCGTGTAATGGCGCGCTCTTAGGCAAATGATATCTCGCACACAGAAAGGAACAAGATCTGCACATAGCTGTTCAAAGGCACTATCCGTTTAGTCCAGAACTCCGCACACACGAGAATTGGAAGTTCAGGAAATTCGCGGGCTCCTTTAACGGTCAGGTTATTTATAACATGCTGTTATATTTAGTTAACATTAGGTTATATTAGGTTAGTTAACATGCTGTTATATTTAGTTAACATTAGGTTATATTAGGTTAGTTAACATGCTGTTATATTTAGTTAAACATTAGGGTTATATTAGGTTTAGTTAACATGCTGTTATATTTATTTTATGATTATTATTATTTGCCAGCATTGCCAGCATTGCTAGATCATATTTCTTTAACTTTTATTCAAATTGCCAATTAACATACTATAAGAATAACAGTGAAATTATGTAAAATTTGCCGAGAAGCAAATTCTTCAATAGTCAATAACTTACCATTACAAGTTGGGCAGCACTCTCCTGGCTGTGCTTTTCTACAGTTGGGGTTGTCGGGCGGACAGGGCGTGTCACACTGCAGTGTTGGGCAGCCGACTGGCTCGCACGTGATGTTTCCTGCAACGTAGCAACAGATTTCTCTCCTTAGCGATACGAACAATTCTTTAATCTCTCCCTTAAGCGATCTCTTAATCTCTCTCCTTAATCGATGTCTAGCAGAGAACCGAGTCGCGAACCTAATCTTCGCATTTAAATATAATTCGTCATGACCCAGATAACGATTTTATGCGACGTCGCCGCTCGACATTAACCCGAGTTCATGCACATAGTTACACAGAAGAATAAAATCAAGAGCTAAGAACACGAGCTGTTATTACTAGGTAAGTATAAACTAGGTACATAATACTAGGTAATACTTAGCTCTTGATAAATGACGAGGATAACGCGTACCGTGCGCACAGCTGCACGTCTGGCAGGGATCGTCGGCATGCGTGAACTGCTGTCCGTTGTCGTATGTCAGCTCGGAGACCTGGCAGCGCTCACAGACGGGGCAGCAGCTGTCCGCGGGCTTAGACGGGTGCGAACAGGACACGGGCACGCAGAGATCCTCCGTGCATACAGCCTGCGACGCCTGCAACGACACAGTGGGGTCAGTCTTTATTACACTGTCCTCGCAATAGCTATATTCTTTTTAAAAAACTTTTCTCGTTCATCGGATGGAAAAAATTACAAAGACCTACCCCAGTGTTTCCTAACCTCTATGTCGCCAGTAAAACCTGGGTCGGTAATCATTTTTAAGCAGGTCGCTTAAAGCGAAGAGTCTCCGGTCACTAATCAAGGTTTATGACAAATAAATTAATTACGAACCGCTACAATTTACTACTAATGAAGCTGCAACTAACCTTGCACACACATGTCTTACACGCATCCGCCTCATCCACCCAGATATCGCCCTCTTCGTACACAGCGACCCCTATTGTGCACAGTGGCGGACAGTGAAGGCAGCAACTACCAGCAACGACCTCCGGGTTGTCACATTGTGGGCTCTCACACTTCTCTACTGCGCATGTTACGTCTCCGTCCTGCAAATACGTTGCGGGAACACTTGAAACATCAATAGGATATATACACCCGCTCCATACTTGGAGTACAAAAGCTTAACTCATCCTGGATGAGGGCAACACATTGCATTCATGGGCTAAGTAGTAGCAATACTACCAAACAATAACCCGTTGCAACAACATAACGAATTCATTGAGCAATATACAGTGGTTCCTGCTTTATCGGGCCTCGAATGACCGGGCGCATCGCTTAAACGACATGTTTTATTGAAAAAAACTTTACGCGGATGATTTAAATCGGGTAAAAACGACAGGACTTCGATTAAACAGGATATTTCATTTAGGACAAACCTTCATTCTTTATTAAGTGAACGTTGTAAAACGATCCTAAACTTAAAATGGAAACTAACAATTCTCGGCTTTTCAGCAGATTTTGACAAAAACTAGCTCACAAAACATTTTTAGAGCTAAACTTATGTGTATTGTACGGTGGCTGTATTGAACAGCTCGTGGTGTGTGCAGACGATTGCGCTAGATACAATTATGCATGCATGTGTAACTTGAAATGTCTTCACAGCATAATTGGGACCTCCGCTGTGAAACATCTTCATGGTTCCTGACTATTCCCGATAAAACGGGGACCTCTGAACTGTTATTTTTTTCAATCATTTTGTCGTGAGACTTATTCGAATGCAGCATATAATTAGCAGGCATTCTCACCTCACAGCTGCACAATTGGCACATTCCGTCCGTGGTCATCGTAAACTTCTGCCCGTTACGGTAGTAGCTGCCATGGTATTCACAGTTGTCGCACGTGGGGCAGCATACGTCGCCACCCCTCACCCGAGCCGGGTGCGCACACCGCGGGCGACACAGTAGGTCCAGCCTGCAACACAGATTAGATTAGATTAGATTAGATTAGATTAGATTGATTAGATTAGATTGTATACAGGCGTATTACACACAGTCCTAACACCACCTAGCAGCAGTATAATGAAAGCCCCAACCATACCCGACGTTCATCGAATCGCTAGTATGGTGCCAATACTCACCAGTAACATGTCATGTCTCACCAACCTTCACCAGTAACTACGCTCACTACCATCCATCCCTCATTAGTGCCCGCCTTCATCAGCACCCCTCTTCCCTAGCACCTTCCGGCACCAACACATCATCAGAGACCTCGCTTTCAGAGGGCTGGGCGCGACTCACCTCTCGCACGTGACATCTCCCTTGTTACACGTACAGTTGATGCACGGGTGGCCATCGTAGAAGCTCTCTCCGTGCTCGTACAGTCGGCCCTTGTGGTCGCACTCGCAGGGTCCGACACGACACATGACGCTGCCGCCATCACACCTGCACTCCTCGCACGGGTCGGCAGTCCTGATCGGCGCACCGTCGGCATGGGTGACGTTATCCAGCAGACAGTCTAGGGACGACAAATGTAGAAGTACGCTGTTACTAAAGTTTGATCGCGAGTAGGGGTTGACAAACGTAGAAGCAAGCTTTCACGTATGTTTCAGAACGATAAGGGTGTAGTCTAAGGATGACAGAGGTAGAAGTAAGCTGTCATCCATGCTGCAGAACGATAATGGTGTAGTCCAAGGATGACAAAGGTAGAAGTAAGCTGTCACCTATGTTTTAGCACGATAAGGATGTAGTCTAAAGATGATATAGGTAAAAGCAAGCTGTCACCAGTGTTTCAGAACGATAGGGATGTAGTCTAGAAATGACATAGGTAGAAGCACGCTGTCACCCATGTTTTAGCACGAGCGCAGTGTGAGTAGGAAGCACTCTAAGGATGACATGGGTAGATGCAATTAGGGGATCTCACAGGATGGTACAGCGCAAGTAGAAAACTGTGCGCGTCGTAGATAGAGGTAATATAAGTTGTCACTCATATTTTAGCAAGGGTCAAATTATCAATGAGGATGTATGTAAGAAACACAAGCATGCGTATTACTGAGAGTATCGACATCTACGAGCCGGTTCTTGACATTAGTAAATGCAAAGATACATCGTTATTGAACATGTATAATACACAAATGACGAAAATTTACACACTTCCTATCTGCTAAAACTACAATAGTTACAGTGTAATTATTATACTTTACCCATTATTATTATTATTATTATTATTATTATTATCATTATTATTATTATTATTATTATTATTACACCTGTACTATTAGTGTAATACTCAACAGGTTTACCTGTGCATAGAGGGCAGCACGAGTCGTCTGGATGCACTGGGTGAGTGCAGGGCGTGGCCGGGCAGCCCCTGTGTTCGCACTGTTGCTGTCCGCCCACACACGTACAGTTATGACACTCGTCTTCCGTAGACTGCCACCAGCTTTGTTCGCTGTGACTACCGCCTAGTCCATCAATGCAGACCACTGCAATGCACACGATGAACAGTTAGTGTTCAGCGCATAGGCCACTTGCCTAACTGTGCCTAACTGTGCCTAACTTGCCTAACTGTGCACAAACGGGATCAGTTGGCACCTGTATGGGTGGCCGAGTTCAGCCATTACCTGCATAATGACAGTGTTAAGAATGTACCTAAGGGATACGATGTGTTCAGGAGCAAATTAAAACCTAGGAATATGACTGAGTAATAACGACTAGATAATTTGGGGCTTGTATAGGTAGTTTATATTTCAAATTTGTTAAATATGTCTTGTAGATGGTTGTATTATGTGGCATAGTTTAACATGCTGTTATATTTAGTTAACATTGGGTTATATTAGGTTAGTTAACATGCTGTTATATTTAGTTAACATTGGGTTATATTAGGTTAGTTGACATGCTGTTATATTTAGAGACGCTTTACCGACGCAAACACAGATTATTATTATTTGCCAGCATTGCCAGCATTCAGAGGCGCCGGAAGGAGGGGGGGGGGCGGCCGACCCTCCAATCCAAAAAGTGGAGAGGGGGGCAAAACCAAAAAGCCCCCTTCCAAAAAAAGAGGAGTGGGAAAGAAAAAATAAAATGTATGAGCTAAGACTTGTTTATTCTAACGTTCAAAAACTAATTTATACATCCATTTTAAGTTTTCGCTGCGCGCTTTGCGTGATTGACGCTCACGTCGCACACACGCGCTCATGCACACACGTCACACACACGCGCTCACGCACACACGTCGCACACACGCGCTCATGCACACACGCCGCACATACGCGCTCACGCACCCACGTCACACACGCGATCACGCACACACGTCGCACACACGCGCTCACGCACACACATCGCACACACGCGCTCACACACACACGTCGCACACACGCGCTCACGCACACACGTCGCACACACGCGTTCACGCACACACGTCACACACATGCGCTCACGCACACACGCGCTCACGCGCTCACGCACACACGTCGCACATACGCGCTCACGCACCCACGTCGCACACACGCGCTTACGCACACACGTCGCATACACGCGCTCACGCACACATGTCGCACACATGCGTTCACGCACACACGTTACACACATGCGCTCACGCACACACGCCCTTTCGCACACACGCGCTCACGCACACACGCGCTCACGCACACACGCGCTCACGCACACACATCGCACATACGCGCTCACGCACCCACGTCGCACACACGCGCTCACGCACACACGTCGCACACACACTCTCACGCACACACGCCGCACACACGCGCTCACGCACACGTCACACACACGCGCTCACGCACACACGCCGCACACACGCGCTTACGCACACACGTCACACACACGCGCTCACGCACACACGTCGCACACACGCGCTCACGCACACATGTCGCACACACGCGCTCACGCACACACGTCGCATACACGCGCTCACGCACACACATCACACACACGCGCTCAGCACACATGCGCTCACGCACACACGCGCTCACGCACACACGCGTGCGTGTGATTGTGTACGTGCATGTGTTTGGGTGTACGTGCGTGTGTGATTGTCCATGCGTGAGCGCGTGTGATCGTTGTGTACGTTCGTGCACAAGTGCCCTTGTGTCTTAATTCGACTTAAGCGTTTGATTATAAATTGCCCCAGTAATGTGTATGTACCACTGTGTGTATGGCGTTGTGCGAAATGCTTGCGAAGCTTGTAGATTGAGTGATTCTAACTAACGAGTATAGTTAGAACGAGAATGGCATGATGGCTTTGTCACATGTCAACCAGTACCTTCTGTGGTTAATTTGCATTCAAGCACATAACACAGTTTCGATGTGAGAGAGTACCAGCTCTGGACACTTCACAACAGCTGGTCTATGATTTGGTGAACAAAAAACACGCAGTATTCTACCTGCTAGTTAGTTCCTAAAACTAACTACTGATCAGTTAGCTAGAAACAGACTTGATCTACGGGACTGTTTTTACACGAGTCCTGAATGCATGCCCACAGATGGCGCTGGCCATCGTGTTAGATGTTAAACACGTGTCTATGGAGATTAAAATTATGAGGAGGCAACATAAGAAACAAGCAAAACACTATGTGTCTGTTACACCAATACGAGCAACATTTATTCATGTACTCACGGACGTATTAGCAACAGCTACAATTGACGGACGGGGATATTCTATCGATTGGAAACGAAAAAAACTCGCATGACTACGTCGTGGCGAGTGATGTATACAAACTTAAACAGCATGCGCTGATTACGACCATCCAACGAAAGTAAAAATCTAACAGAAATGAGCAAATACAGCGCGCTATATATAGACACGGGAAGCTGAGTGAAATTCGAGCAACCGCATGACTCGTTCATGGCTTCAGAAACTTTCGAGTAGGAGAAACTATTTCATAGTTGAATGGATGGATGGATGGATGGATGGATGGATGGATGGATGGATGGATGGATGGATGGATGGATGGATGGATGGA